GTTCTAGAATAGGTTAAGTAGTCAGCATTGATTCATCGTTGTTTTTCTTAGGACAAGAGATGTATCTTAGTCTGGTGTGCGTCTTTGGTCTTCTGGCCGTCACAAGTGGTAAGTCGACAGTTTAAGACTAAATGTAAATAAGCATGCTGGAACAGCAACAACAAAAAAATTCCAATTGTTATATGAATTCTGATATTGATCTCTTTCTTCAAAACCAAACGAGCAGCAAAATAAATATTGGACTTCGGTCTTTCCAAGGAACTTTAAAACAAATTACATGAATCTAAGAAGCTTTTCTTTTGCTATTGTTCGGCCGCAAGAGTTCTAATATGCCATTTATAGTGATTTTTCGTTCCAGGCTCTTACCAGACTCAGCCAATCATTGGCGCTGCATCATACACAGAGAAAGTCCCCGAGGGTGGACGAAGCCCAACCGACGATAAACGCTACACAATAGGTTAGCGAAATTTCATTTCTTTCTTTTTCTTTCTTTCACTTTCCGTCTCATGCATTTTCTATTCTAAGTCTCGACAAATGATTATTTCATTTTACAGAACAATTGAACAGAGCCGCTAGACATCGTAATGTTTACATGGATCGGGCTGGAGGCGACCCTTATGGTATATGATACGATTTGTATCGGCTATCTTTTGCGCGCGCAAAAGTAGTTTCATTTCAGTTTGAATGAGTTTTTGTTTTTTTGTAACGTCTTTGTGTTCCCTGAAGATGACCGCTTAGGTCGAAAGCTTGGAAAGAAGTTTAAAATTATTCATGTTTGATTAAACAAACTGCGTATAAATATGAAAAAATACAACCAACAAAGATCTTTTAAAAAAATATCTAAGAACTGTTGGCGGTTGTCGCATGGATCATCAAGTATTATAGATGGAGTTTAAAAGCGTTTATCCACCTTATATGTTTGATGGGGTTGGATGAATCATCGACGAGCATGTTAGACGATGTTCGTAGATGTATAATCAAACATGTTTGATGTGGTTTGAAGGCGTTTGCATGTACAACTTCATTATTTGATGGTGCTTCATCGCGAAGCATGTGTTTAAAAGGAATGAATTCGACGTATGGCCACCTTTGGTGATGTTGTTGAAGTGTTGAATAGAGCATCGAAAATGTTTGATGGATGTTTACTGCTTTTGGCGTTGACAATACAAGTTGTTTGACAATACAAAAATGCTGGATTTTCCAAAAAATGTGCATATTTCTTGAAGATCATTCAATTCTCGTTCGTCTCATCTTTCGATTTTTTTTTAATTTATTCTAAGGTGTCAGCAGCCCTATGGTAGCCAGGGGTAAGCGATCTGTAGGAACTCAGCAGCTTTATCCAGGTACTTTAATGTCGTTACTTTTACGGCATTTTTTCTCTCATTCATATCTTCGTGATTATTATTATTTTAGTATTTAAGGATGTGTTTTTCCATTTTTTAGTTGGAAGTGACTTTCATGCCAAGCCAAAACCAATGTACGCCAGGAAACAAATGAACATCGAAGAAAAGAGAAACTACATCGGTTGGTTAAACATGCCTGCACCTGCTCTTGTTCCTCTAAATGCATCTCCTCCCCTTCCTTTCCAGTACCTGCTCCTTTTCCTTTTATCCTATAACTCCTGCTGCACCTCTACATCTTCCTGCTCCTGCTCACCTTCTTCTTCTGCTCCTCCTCTNAAGCTTAGTGCTATGTTATTAAAATGCTTTGTTACATATAGACTATTCCAAAGTGACTGCTTTAATGTGGATTATACTGAACTGTGACATAATTAATAATAGTCAGTAGTGACGGGCACAGAATTCACCCTCATGAGACTTCTACGCATGCCACTGGTCAGTGTTAGATAGTGGTCTAATGGTCATATCAAGATAAAAGAAAACAAATCTATTTTATGAGTTTATGGCTAACTCTGTCTATTTTATCTCTAAGGTGCAAGTCCAATTGTAAGTCGATCATTTATCAGGATAACCCATCGACACGGACGATCAGCCAACGACGATAAAAAGTAAGCTGTTTAATRGATCTCATCAAGTTTGTGAAATTCCCAATATTGCCCTTGMCCTTGCCCTTGCCCTTGACCTTGCCCTTACTTATAACAGGATTTGATTTCAATTTTCAGGTCTAAAACAATCTATGACAAGCTAAAGATCCAAAAGAACTGCTGTTGCGTAAATGGAAAATGTTAAACGTAATAAATAAACTGACAGTATTTTATATTAAATAAAAATGTTTGAAAACTTAAAGAAATGTTTTGATGTCCTATTGGGAGAGCACGGGGATCCCAACGCGGAAACTATTTTAATGAATTTATCATAACAAAAGGTGTTATTCGAATGAGAAACTACTTTCTTGTTGGACACTTTTACTGGTCATTGAACAATGTTTGTTTGATGTCACCAATACCATATAGTAAAATAATACCAAAGCAAAAAAAAAAAAATATGAAATACGAGATGAAAATTGGAAAGTGAGATGAAAATAGAAAGGAAAGAGAAGTAAAAAGTTGAAACAAAAAGCAAATTATCATTATAAAAATAACAATCAAATTTTATTTTAAAAATAATCAATATATAACATGGACCTTGTTTGTCATTAGAATCTTTCTAACTTTTGAGAAGATACCATACATAGATATGAACTATTAATTTGCTCCTATATTTTATACACGGTGGAGAGAGTTCTCCGAAGTAGAAATACTTATTTCATTATAATCTAGATAAATAAGCATTATTAGAGCAATTATCGTCTTGTTTTTTCATCTTTTCTTTTTTGGTGCATTTTGTTCATTATTTTAAAACAATACATTTACATCTTTAAATTGCGGCCATTTCTGCTGTTTAACTTTTATGTTATTAACTATATAATACCTAATATTTGCTGCAATTAAGAAATGTCTCCCTTTGTGTTATTCCTTATTGTTTTCCATCACAATTTTTCTTACAACATACATTGGCTTATCGCTTGCCAATCACGTCCTGGTTTCCAAGAATTTGAAAATTACTGAATGCTGTAAAGATAGAAATTAATGGTTACAAAATACACATTCGATTTCCAAAACTTATTTTTTATAAAACGCATTAATAATTTATGAACTATTACTCCAATAGGGGCTGTCTATTTGGTCAGGTGATTGTACTTGTAAATCCGAAATAGCACTAGTCTTGTATAAGATTTACAACACGGTCGTCACCATTGAGACAACCCAACACTAGCAAAGATACCAGTTTTAATATCGCATCATTGACCTTCACTAGGTTTTGAAGCAAACAAACACAGATAACAGCACTCGCTTATCCAACAAACGGCTTGCTTTCCATGTTGGATGATTATTCAAAATGCTCTCTGTTACAGTAAATTGCGCATGCTCGATAGCGACTAAACTTAGCAGTTACCTTGTTCATCATTTTTTGTCATTTATCTCGCTGTAATCCATGTTGATTTGTGTTGCCGTTTTAAAAGTCGTTCACAGAATTCGCGTCCGTGTTGTATGGGAATTAAAATCTCTTGCTTGCAGCTCGAGATCCCATAATATACGGCCGCTTATGTTATAAACTATACTTAACATTGCTTATTTTTTACTTACACATGGAGTCCCCTCCAGCGCCGTCAAAAAGTGCATCTCGTTTGACTGCATATCTATTTTCTGACGCTAGAAGAAACATGTCAGCAAAATTTAAACGTAAGACATATCAATTAAAACAGTTGGAYACAATCTTAACAAAGACAGGAGACTCGTCTCTTTCATTTCATTTGTATGAATGACATTTGGAGTGGAATCTGGATAATAATTGACAACAAATTGCCAAACTTTGAAGATTACTAATAACACTTGGCAAAAGGCATTTTTTACTTCTGAATAAACTGTTCTGACTGGTCAAGTCACAGACTATATAACTGGAAAAGTTGACTAGTTAACAGAGGTTGTAAATACTGTAAATYCAATTTACAGACAAAATGCCCTTTTACAAAGTTTGTAAATTTTATGTACATTCTGTAAAGATCTTGTAGATTTGATCGATCAAACATTATAAATATCTTATAAAATCAATTTATAAAGTTTGTAAAAGTAYATTTTGTCTGCAACTATTGAATAATTTACAGCAAATGTACAGACTCTGTAAATTAAATTAAGCAGCTTTCCCTGTAATTAATATGTACAAAAATCACTTAGTATCCGTTTGCTTACCCAAATATTTATCGTTAAATCCCCATTGCGTGGGTTTTACTCTCATATTATCATTCTGGGTGTTCTTWGGCTTTTGGTTCTTTGTATTTTTGTTGAACAACTGGTGAAGAGAAAACCCGGCAGGGGTAGGCACGGGAGGATTTGGATAGGACTCTGCATGCTTTACTTTGTCCTTTAATGTTTTATCTGTTGTAAACAGGAAATTACGAAAAATGAGATAATGATGAATAATATTAATCCTGGCTCATACGTCGAGCCAGCGTCACTCCGAACCAAATAATCAATAGTCTCCTTCACGGTTACCTGCGCCATCTTGAAAGGTAGCCGTGCCTTTGCATCGATCAGAGAGACGACCGTTGAGCGTGCAATGATAGAAACCTTCTTTCATACCTACAGACAATTATTGACAGGTATCTATCATTGCACGATCAACGGTTGTCTCGCTTCCATGTAAAGGCACGGCTACCTTTCAAGATGGCGCAGGTAACCGTGAAGGAGATTATTGGTGTCGACCCAAATACATTTGTTACGGCGTTGATWAATATGTCGAACCAAATGCAGTTAAAAAAATATAAGAAAAAGTCCGATAACACGCAATCTACATCCATTATTATTGTAGAAAACAGATATTTTTGCGCTTTAAGTTTGGCACGGCGATATCTCGACGTTTGAATCAGCGTCGCGCTGTTGCCGTGCAGCACGACTGTCACTGCCGTGCTGCAGTCGTGTCGAACTCAATTGATTCATACGTCGATCTGTTCATGTGCTAAATTCAAACTATTTGGTTCGGCGTGACGTTGACTCGACGTATGAACCGGGCCTTTGCTATGAATCAATTTGCAGCAGCAATAACAATGATACATATGCCATATATATGATTATAAGGGATGTGGTACCTGAATTTTTGTCTGCAGTATTGTTTTCTGTTGCATTCTTCGTTGCATTTAAAGGTTTCATGTCCTTATTATTTAAAGGAATGGCTTGAAAGTGAAAAAAAGTTTAAAAATTTTTTTTAACAAATTGTAATTATTTAAATTGGCCAACAGTCAAGATGTTCTTCGTTTTCAGAGTAATAATATAGCAACATGCTGCTGAAGGATAACTTTTGAAGATTAATTTTCGTTTTTAAGTTACGTCAAAACGACCATCTTGGAGGAACTTCAACAAAAGGTTTTTCATTATATATATTGTTCATTCCTCCAACATGGCTGCCAGTCTTTTATCTTTTAAATCTCATGGGAATGTTTGAAAACGATCAATTATYCTGCCGATRAATTCSTATTTCACTAACTAACTACTGCATCCCGCCTGTTCTTTTCAAATTTAACAAYTTGKCTCTTAAAAACAGCTGGAGAATACAGTTTTTAATTGGTAAAAAGTTATTACCGATTGGGAAGACATCTCTCCTCGTCGCAGCGGCRTCACCTAATTGAGCAAAACAAAATAGACGCCGACTCGTGAAAATTGCTTTTCCCTGGAGACTCATCAWGATGACATTTTGTTGCTGGGAATTATTTGTGATGGAGAGAWTATGAAGAAAGGTATTTTATAATTAAAATTAGTAAAGAAGAAATGATTGAAATAATCTTTTTAACTGGGAGAACTTCATCGYATGATATGAATTTTGAGGCAATATATATTACAATCTTTTCTCAAGATGTTTCACCAGGACGATGAATAGCGACCATCGCATTAGGTCTGGTTAACATAAAAGCGTTTGGGTAGAAAAGCCGGTTAGGGTGGTCTTATARATTTTCCCCTTCTTTTATTCTTATACCTTTTGCAACAAACAGAAAAACTACAACCAGTGACGTCAACATGGAAACAAGCTCCATTCTAACAGCTAAGGGTGGAGTCTGAAAACGAAATAACATATGGTCAGCGAGAGTATTATGTTAACACGTGCGACCCAGAGCTATTCGTTGTCGCATAAAAATTCCTTGTATAGCTACGTGCTACTGTATAAGTGCCGCTACACACGAGGGAGCTTGCTCTAGCAACAGATTTGCCCGTGGAGCTTTTTTCTCTCATATTTAACCAATTGGATACGAGGGAGCTAAGTTCTTGAGCAAAAGTTTTGTTGCGCAACAATTTTAAGTTGTTGTTGCAAACCAAGGGGATTTGCTTCGGGAGCATGTAACGGGAGCGTGTTTCGGAGGAAGCTTCCTCGTGTGTACCAACCTTAAAAGAACTCACTTGGACAAATGGACAAATAGTACGAATTTTTAGCTGAATTTATTATCATTGTACTAGAGTTATTCTATATTTTCGAGGGAAAAGTTGCCATCAAAGTTAAAAAGGATATTTCTATCAATTACCGGTTTATAATCATAGTAGCTCATGCGCATCGCGAACATCACCTCAGTCGGGCTTCTCTCATCTTCATTTTTAATTTAGCTCAGCTTTTATCCAAATCAATCTGAGAATCCTAAGACTATGTTACCCAACAGTTATAAAATTTGAAACAGTTGTGTAAAGAAGATAAGTTTAACACCGTAAAAAAGTATGGGAAATAACTTACTGACGTTTCGGATGTTAGTCCTTCGTCGGAGTAAAGAGCAACTTATAAAGCAAGTTATAAACTTTGATCCCTGACTTAAATTAACTCGGGGAAAATGATTTGATCTATGACTGATATACGCATCCTTTTCAAAACTAGGAAAAGGTGTAATCYTTGGAAACAGTGGAAAACGGAAATGATTGCATTCATTGCATAATATATCTGGCAGAGATTAGTGAACTTTGAGAGCTATTTTTATTGATCTATCAATCTGTGATCTTTGATCGCAACCCTTGCAGGTGCCTCTAGTAGTTTTTTACACCGTAGAAAAAGATCAATAAGGATTGATTTACCGGCCAACTTGGTGATACCTTTCAGACAAGATCTTTGCATGCATACTTTTCTAACTTGAATTCATTGTTATTTTTAGTGGCTCTAACTGAGTTCACACTTGAAATCAAAACTGCTATAAACAATTAAACAAAGAGCTTATGTATAAGCGGTGACCGAGTGAACACTCGTTTTTTGAATTATATCTGCTCAGAGCTATCTTTCTTCGTTTAAGAAGCGCTGCGTAACTATAAGCTAAGTTAACAGTGATATGTTTTTAAGAAAAGGAAATTTTAAGGCTATTTATATCTATATAAATGTCATATAAATAAGCGATGTAATATCTTGATTGCGAATGTCTTCGTTTAAACTTTAGTAAAGATTATCATTTATAATTATACTTAAATTCAAGAGAATTTGTCWTTATATTAATATATAGTATATAGATATACTTTACAACTAATGTTACASATTTCGTATAATGATTAACATGTAACACTCTTGAAAGACGCTGTGAAACCCTGATCGCATTGCATTGTCATAGATCATAAATTAGAACAACAGATAAATATATATATAGATACATAAACTTAAAGCTTAAATAATTGTACGTGTACCTCAAGTGCTTGTCTATCAAGAGAGTAAATTCCAGTAAAATTTTCGAAGGACAAAGCCAAGCGAAAAATCGATGGCTATATTGMTGAAATGATTATGGTACCCGTTTGACCCTTATTAATGTTAAACAATAAAATGGAGAACAACAAGAAAACAGTGTTTTAGATAACACGGGCGAGTGATTCACCTGTGGTCACTGGTAGATAGCGTCCAGTCCCCCTTTAGGGTACTCGGTCTAGAACTTACAAGTACAAGAACTCGAATTTGAACAGTTTTTGTTGTGCACTGGATAGTCTAGTTCCAATTCGATGACTCGACTTCTTGCTCATTTTTATAGAATGAAAAGTAACGATAATCTTACGTGTGGGAATTATAACACTTTTTAACGTATAATTATCTTTGAAATACCTATATTTCTCTCTTTCGAAAAGTTTTATTTTGACGAGTGAAAATAACATGTTATTTTATGTCTTATGTCGCACGCTTGACTTCATTTCTTTGTCTTTTCTTTTGCTCTCGGCTTATGGTTATGGTTATGCTGTCTTAGTGCATGAAAACAAGACTTAACAGGATTCATGCATGGCTGATACGTTCACTCACTCTTTCTCTACAATATTTAAGAGTTTTTTGTTTTTTGAAAGCGCCACAATCACCCGCGATATCGAGAAGCAATAAGTGTTGTTTGAATTGTTTATGAGCGTATATGTGTTTCTAGAAATGCTATTCTTCTTGAGTTCTCGCCCTTCTCGCCCTTCTCGCCCTTCTCGCCCGGGCGGTCGGATTAGTAATAAAAACCTATTCAAGATGGCGGTCGGACGGTCGTAATGTTAATGTCTATTCAAGATGGCGGCAGTATTGGTAATAGTAAGGTCTATTTTAAATGGAATCGTCCACGAATTTGTGATCGTTTACAAATGCGTGTCTATTTATAATTGAAGAGTGATTTTGCGGCATTTTGAAGTTCCTATTCAAGCTGTTTTGATTTTTTTAATATCTGCGAAAGAAAATCTCATAAGAAGCCAGGAGTCATATTGTGCAAAATATGGATCTTGGTAAATTTCAAGATATAGTTCTCAAAAAAACGTTGCAAGCTTATACAGGATGTCTGCATTATTGTTTTCAGACTTTTGCGAAAGTCTTCTATCGGYAATTATGTTATATCCCACAGTACTTCCGAAACGGAGTTGATTGCTCACTCACATGCATTGCCAAACGGACGAGTTAAGAATATCATAAGAATGGGACTAAGTAGTTTAAAATAAGAAAATCAAAATGGATCGATTTACGTCGTTTATATTCGGTGCTGCCCGTCAGTCAAACCCAGACAAAATGGCRCATTGTGTAATTAGTAATTACTGCCATCAATTCTTTGTACTTTAACCGCAGGTTGGTCTAATTTATAAGCGGGCTGTTGTTGCTGACAAATTACACGTCTTTACTTGTAGTTTTGTCTGGGCTGATCCTGACTGAAACGCTGATCTTTGCCGGATGATATCTATTTGATATCGATTAAAAAACAGTTGTGTTTGATTTGGATAGGTTTTTATTGACATTGSATCAAAACCTTAATATCAACACCAAATACAAAGCAAGTGTAGCTTTTTGTCGTTCATATAGCTCATTTGAATCGCTCCCAGATTGACTATTTCCAAAACAATCATCGTTAATACTCGTTTGAACTTTGGTCAAGTTCACCTATGATTAACCATTATTTTTATACAGATGTAAAGGTCACGTGACAACCTAATGGAAAACATCTTATCAGACAACCCCGCAGCCCCTATAAGACAGAGGTTGGCTAAATTGTTTATAGAGTTTCAAAGAAGATTGATATCAACTGATTCATGTACCATCATTCTTGACTTTTTTGCTTCAAAAGTTTCTTTATAGAGAACGAAAATACATGATAAACAAAAAAAGCAAGTTTTTATTTTTTTGTGTGACTATTACTCGAATATCTTAATTGTTGTCTCATGTTTACAACTGACCTTCAAATATCTGCCCTCCTAACATAAGAAAACGTTTATAAGTGGTGTCTCAAATATGCCATTAAAATTTTTATTCTTGCCATGTTTCAGCAAACTTACGCCATCTTCTGAAAAATGGATACAAAGTTCTTCACAAATAATATGTATAATATAATATATATGATTATAATGATAGAATGGAAAATTATAAAACAAACTACTGTTTTTCATAATGTATATTTCACGACAAGATAATCACACTTATCATTTGGGAACTTTATTTAGTTTTTTTGTGTGAAAAATTCAAACTATAATTATAACATTATACATATACACCACAATTGCATATAKTTTTTGACTCGTATTTTTGATTTATTTCGGTGTTCTTTGGTTATACACCTTTTCAGTTGAACTTAGGCCTCRATAGCAAGTKAATTATTCTTTTGAATTTGACAAATGAGACTATTCATATCAATGTTTGCATTKCTCACATTCCTACAAATTCAAAAGAATATTTAACACGCTGTYGAGGCCTAAGAGCCACACTGAAAAGGTGTATTCAAAGAGAAAATAGCTTTTACATCTTTTGTTTTAGACGGCTTTCAATTCAAAAGTTCCACACGCCAGATGTTTCTCTAATTTAGCTTGCCATCAGGATAAATATATGATATATTAAACAAGATATCTCACCAGCAGAGCACATGCGTTAACAATGCCGTAATTCCTTCTCTCCCTTTTTGTTTGATCTGTTGTATGATTAAATAACATAATCTCCGGAAAYGACAAAGATATTTTTTGTGTCAAGATTACCTTCGTGGGCGARCCTTATCAATCAGGAGCAATCTAATTGTTTTCTGTGTCGATCGTGAAAAGAATATCACCAAAAAAAAAGTCATATGACGAAATACGCGATTGCCATCTTTAGTTTGTCTTTTTAAGATCAAGTCGCACAAAAATCAGTTAAAATAGAAAACCTTTTTGAATCACATGGTTAAGTTGAAACTTTGACATATACTCTTTAATGCGATAGAAATATCTAAGAAATATTCAGTATTCAAAGCAGAATATAGACCTCTTTGCCAGGCACGTATGCAAATTATCCAGTTGAGATTGTMGATGAAATTCCCTACAGAATTGCTCATTGTCTACATCGCC